AAAAAAAAGTAAACATGAATATTTGCTTCGATTAGTGATTGTATAAGAGATTCAGATACAGTAGCTAGGATTTCCATGGGTTTATTATAATTATAATCAAAAACGCTCCCTTTTTCGATTTAGAAAGGTCGAAAATATATACTTCATTAATGAAAAATGTTTTCCTCTAACGCATTAGAACACGTTCTTGAAGAACAAATTTTTTCTGAATTATGAACGTGTTTCTGCCAAGCTGTGTGAACACATTCTGAATATGTGGGAATGCATTCTTCTTGAAAACGTTCAAACGAGTTCTTAGAGTCTTAAGATGAGATCACTATTTCACCATGGATACACTATCAATCATGATTTTATCTCTATTAAGAGTCTTGTGTTGCTTATGTATATGTCGCATACTTAATTTCTTGCGCTTTATAGTAGACGAAGGAAAAAATGTACATACACCCGTACGAATGAACATATGCATCACAGAACCAACATTACTCAGTCAGGTTATACGCTTGGTTAAAGTGAAAGAACGCAACAAAATTGCGTTGTTCTGCATGAAAACAAATGTGTCCGATTGCATTATAGAGAACGAGTTCGAACGATTTTTTAATTGATGTTGGTTGAAGAGTAACGGTGTCTATCTCATAAACATATTCACACATGCTTTCAAATAGTCTTTGATATTAAAAAAAGGCATAAGAAATTTAAAAAAACATATTTAAATGCATAAATAACGTTTCTCTTTGAAATTTGGTGTTGGAACGCTGTTCTATAACCTTTTCTTCATGAGCATCGTCTTTCAATGTATATTTTTCAGGCAGTTTAAATAATTTGCATCTGTCCGTGTTTTAATTATTTGTATATAACAGGTGAAGAGATGAATCATGCTCTGCACACGTAGGCAAAAAAAGAAATGATAAAATCATCTTGCAGTTATGCTTTCTCAGTGTTAGGAACTTATTGGGCTGCTCATGTATTTTTATTTCACGAATAAGTAAAGAGAAGAAACGAAACACTTAAGTATTTATTCAAGCGTTGCAAATTACTTCATATCAATATGTTCGAACACGCTATCAATCGATATTTCCCGTGATAACCTTGTTGAAAAACGCACGACATGAATGATACAAAACCTCTTTTAAATGCGTCCAATAAAATGTCTATTGGTGATGATGATGATAATGATGATGATCGAAACAAGAAACAACTTCTAACTAATAGGTATGATTCAATAAATATATAACTTCAGGAAAAATAAAATGAATTTATAATTGTCCATAGTTTTTCTGATTGGCGTCGATGTTTTAGTAGAAAAAAAATCAATAATGAGTATATAAAATTAGATGATGATGCCCAATATAGTGACAAAGATAAACCAGTCGATGCTTTTCGTTTAGTAAGCATATTTAGACGAAATACCAACTGATGAATGAATTTGGTTTTATTGTAGTTTCGGTTTGCAGATCGTATCGATTTTATTCTGATGTTCACTGCTATGTTTTTCATAGTTCCAGAGATGGTTTGCATTGTTGCTAACCCAGTTCTCTTTGGTCAGCTCACAGGATTATTTGCTATTAAATCTTTTGGTGATAATTGTGATTATCAATACAAAAATACAACAGCTTCAATCAAAAACCAAAATACATATCTTCAAGGCATCAAGCTCAATACATTCAACAACGCTTCGTTGCATAAGTAATGCACTTAAAAATATTATTAATTACTCTATATTTCTCTTATTTTCCTTTGGTATATAGTGATATAAATTTGTCATTAACTTTAACTATATCAATGCCTTCATTTCGAGAACAAGTTATGACCAAAATTCACTGGTTATTCAGTAAGTGAAATAAATATTGTAATTTTATTATAAAAAACAATAGAAAGTATTTTTTTGTCTTTCAATGTAGTTATCGGTGTTGTCCAAGGACTGTCCTGTTTCATTCAATATTTTTTTTGGAGCATTAGTGTGAAACGACAGATATTTCGTATGAATGTTTCCCTCTTTCGATCGCTTATTCAGCGTGTAAGTGAATATGTGTCCATCTACAAAAAGAAATTCTCAAATATTGATTCCAGTCTTTTCTTAACGTTTCTATAAAATTATAGCATCTTTTGCTTGTTCTCTGTAAGAAATTCACACCATTAAGATATTAGAAATTCCACCTACCTCACAAAATAGGCTAAAGTATTTCGATTAAATTTAGATATACATGGAGTCATCTAGACATTTAGGAATTCCAGCGCTAAAACTAAGAATTTAAGGCAACAATACGAATGTATTCTCGGTCTATCTGTTACCCAGATATCAAATACTTTCTGAGAAGATGATAGATATGTAATAGTTTTGAACCTTTATAGAACAACAACGATCACTTATTGTTTTGTGGAACTCACATATATTTTCGAAGAAAATAGTGAGTGCAATTTTTAAATTCAAGTTTCGCGGCTCCTCTCCCGCCTTCTTCATTACAGATATTTTCCCATTACAGACACTGTGTAAGATCTGATGTAGACGTTATAGATATTTAAAACACATTTATTTGTCAATTAATTCAATGAGTATAATAATGACAATGTTAAATGAAGAAAAACGAATTTAAAAAAAGGTTTGAAAAATAATGAGTGAACTGTAATAATACAAACAAAAAATAGAGCGCCCATAGGAAAAATAAAAATTCTGTTCAAAATGCAGAATTTAGAAAGATTCCTACTCTGATGTTCGATTATCGTGAAAAGCAACTATAGTCTATGAGAGATTTTTCACTTTATGTATTTTTTTGTATTAATTTAATGAGGCTAGAAAATACATGTGAGTTCCACATTTTAGCCCCGTAGAAGTTGCGCTAACAAGCTCTTTTGATGAACTTTCAACTTGAATAGATAATAACTTTACAGTTATAAAGATAAACGTCTTCATTATTGATACAATTTTACAAATATCAATACTAGGAATAGTTCTAGAAAAGAGGAGTTTAGATAATACAATTCTAAAATGACATTAAAGAAATAGTGATGAACTTATGAAGTTATTTCAATCGCTTTACATATTTCCTATTTACTGTCTATAACAAGGCTTAATTCTGTCGAAGATGTATCACCTCAACTCAGCGTTGCATTTACAGTAATGGACAAAAGTCTCGATGCTAGCGGATCTTAGTCATTATAGGTACTGGAGGTCTGAAAATTTGTGTACGTATACTCCACCAGGAATCTAGATCAGAGTCATTACAGTGTTCTGATTGATGAATTAGAAAGAGAGTTAGGATAGATAACACCTATTTTGTTGCCTTGAACTTAATAACCTAAAACAGACTGTCTAATAGATTCTATGCTGTTTCTTATTAAATATATGGCTAATTCTTCATATTTTTACATAGAACTAAATTTTAGCCTACGACTTTTCTTTATCTAAAAGATGAGTTCGTTTGCTCAAATATTGGGATCTCTGGGTTCTTAGGAATAACAATATGATCAGCAATGTGCCATTTGTCTTTAGTGTGAGATTCACTTCTGAAACTTGTAGACAATAAAGTTCAATTATAGAGAAAGCTTTTCCGAAACTGACCTCGGTTCATTGAACTATTGCTGAATTATTAGTCTTCGAAGGACAGTAAATGCTTTTTCTCCACATCAAGGATCACAGTAGAATGGTCATAGTTCTGAAAAAGATTGATAAGCTTCAATGAAATTAATAATGTAGACAGTTGAGATGTAGCTTTACATAATGAGAAGTTGACTGGCAAACAATGCCTTGCCCTTCCAGAGTTATAAATCATAGAGGAGAAGTAGGTACTATGGATCATAATTTCCTTTCTACTCAAACAATCGGAGTGTAGGCGGTGCTACTGACCTACATTCTTGAGGAATATATGCATCCAAATTTTCAAGTCTCCAGCATCTATGATGGCTAAGATCCGCTAGAGTAGAGACTTTTATCCACAGAAGTATTGGAAATGAATCGACTTATGAGAGAAACTTTCTACATGTTCCGTTCCAATTTCAATGATTTTTTGTCTATATATACTACATAGTATTCTAGCAAAAACTGAAAACGAATCTCAGTCTCTATTGAGACGTGATGAACTATTGATACTTTGAAGTGTTTATTTGCGAAAGAATCTTCTACAACTACTATTTTTTGGAAAAATCGTGCTTTCGAATTTTGCTTCAAAACTATTACCAATTGAAGAGTTCATAAATAGTAGCAGTATGAACAATTTCAGAATTTGTAGACTTCACACCTCCAAAATAGAAACTTTTCAAAATATTCTTATATTTTTCAAGAAGTTCCGAAATGTCTCGATTTTTGTAAGGTGCATGTTTCGAAAATACGAAGTCTACAAACTTTGATATTCTTCATATGAGCTACAATTTATAAGACCTTCAAACCGAGAGAGCTTTAAGATGGAATTCAACAGCACGGTTTTTTAGAAAGCCTAAAGTTCTACAAAGTTGTCTGAAAAATAGATAAAATAAAAATTTGATAGTTCCGTTAAGGCTCAAAGGAATCTGATTTTTTTTATCGATTTCATTATAATAAAGGTAGTATCTATAGGCAAAGAATCATTGAAATCGGAACATAGCATGAAAGTAGTCGTCAGATCATAGTTAAAGTGAAATTTGATATTTGATCAGTGTAGTCGGAGTGGAATTGTTGTCGACTGAAATCAGAGTTAGAGTGAATGTACAAGTGATCATTTTTTTCTTAATCAAGTTTAAACTGCTATTGATTTGGTAACTTGTCAAGTGAACATAGGAAAACATTGAGAGTAAGAAAACCAACTATAAAAACAAATGTAAAAGGATTTACCTCTTAAAAATAAAATCTAGTATAGGATGACACTTTACAATGAGAGCAACAGCAAGGTTTTCAAAATACCTAAAATTGTAATTGGATTGAAATTTGAATAACATGGATAGAGTAGAATTTATCTTATTCTGACTGCTTCTCTTTCTCTGTTTTTACTTTTAGAACATTTCTTATATGGATACCAAATCGGATATTCAACTCAATACTAAACTATTTCAGTAAGCTATTTTGATGTTTTATATAACATAACGTCATGTGATTCAATTCTTTTACAGTAACATAGCAAAGATTCAGAAAGGAATTGATTTTGGATTCTTATCATTGATCTCAACATTACTCAGCATAATCGGTTGTTTCATAGCATCTTTTATTGTCAACTGGCAATTAACTTTGATCATTCTATGTTTATTACCTTTGGTGATTGCTAATTCACTTGTGTTTTCTAAGGTATGAAATATTGTTGAATCAATAAAATCTATATGAATTGTCACAGTTCACGGCTAGAGAAACAATGATTGAATTAATGACGTATGCGAAAGCAGGACAAATCGTTCAAGAAGTGTTTAGTTCACTGCGAACTGTTCTATCTCTCAATGGCAGCAAATTTGAGCAAAAACGGTAAACGAATATAGAAAACTGGTTTACTTATATAATATAAGAAAATATAATATTTTTTTAATTAAATTTAGATATGAGAGAGAATTGCATCTAACTAAATGGAGTAGTATACGTCAAGGTGCTATATATGGAACTTTTATTGGATGTCTATCTCTGATAACCTTCCTAGTTTATACAGTTGGTTTCATCTTTGGTTCTCTTCTCAAGTCAAGCAAAGACAATCAAACTGTGAACATTAGTGATATTCTTGTCGTGAGTAATTCATGTTATTAGTCAATTAGGAAATGAATATACGACTATTATCTTAATGCAGGTCATATCTCTGTTTGCGACATGTTTCGGTTTCTGCAATATTATTGGTCCTTTCTTTCAATCATTTTCAGAAGCTCGGGGAGCAGCAGCATCAGTGTTCCGACTTATTGACGAAGTAAATCCGACTAAATTGATAGCTGATATCGATAGGAATGCTCTCTATTTATTTGAATGATATAGGGAAATGATCCAAATGTCAATGAAATAGATGTATGGCAAGAGGATACAGAATCAATTTACAATGTTAACGGTGATATTGAATTTGATAATGTCAATTTTATTTATCCATCTCGAAAAGATGCACCAGTTCTGCATAATCTCTCTCTTATTGCTCGTGCTGGCCAGACAACAGCTCTCGTAGGTCTAAGTGGCTGTGGTAAGTCTTTCGCGAAAACAAGGTTGTCTAAATGATCTCATATACATGCATAATTTTTTCATAGGAAAAAGCACATGTATATCGCTTTTTCTTCGTTATTATGAACCTTCATCTGGTCGAATCATGATCGATGGTCGGCCACTAACAGACTACAATGTTAAACAACTTCGACAAAACATTGGTGTTGTTAGTCAAGAACCTGTATGTTTTGTTTTTTTTTGTTTCTCATTTCTCCCTTTCTCTTTGATTCACTATTTCAATAGATTCTGTTTTGCATGAGTATTTATGAAAATATTCGTCTTGGTAACGTAACTGCAACACGTGCAGAAATTGAACAAGCAGCACGAGAAGCAAATGTACATAATTTCATCATGCAATTACCAAATGTTTGTGCTTCATGTTTATTTTTATCTACATATATGTGCATTATTTCTTGTTTAGAAATATGAAACATTTGTAGGCGAGGGTGGTATACAATTGAGTGGTGGTGAAAAACAACGTATAGCATTAGCTCGTGCCCTTGTCAAACAGCCCACCTTCCTTTTACTAGATGAAGCAACAAGTGCTCTTGATAATGTTAATGAAAAAATTATTCAAGAAGCGCTCGATCGAGCATGCAAAGGTAACGATTGTTTTCTTTGCTTATCGTATTGATGTAACAATCTGTATAGGCCGCACAACTATTGTTATTGCTCATCGTTTGACTACAATTCAAAATGCTCATCAAATATATGTATTAGATAATGGAACTGTGATTGAGCAAGGTACACATGAAACATTGATGACAAAGGAACGAGGCAAATATCAATCAATGGTCAAACGTCAACAAATGCAAAGAATCGATGATGATAACGATGATATGATAAGCATACAAAAAATTACAGAAGAAGATGAAAAGTCGATAAGTATGTTGATATTCTTATTGTAATAAACTTCACAGTTCTTCGTCTCTTTTCGTGAATAGTTGAACGTATTCGTTTGTTTAGCGATAGCCAAACTGTTAATGTGAACAACGTAATAATACTATTGCAGTTATTTATAAAAATAATCATCAATAATTTCTATTTTAGCAGAGTTCAAAATCATTAAGAAAAAGATTCGTCTTTTTAAGACTTTTGTCAATGAATAGTCCTGAATGGATTACCATCTTGATTGGTTGTTTAGCATGTGCACTTAATGGGGCGGCTCAATCAATGCTCATAGTTTTACTTACTAAAACAGTCGAGGTGAGTGATCATTACATGTAAATATTGTGCAAAAAGATTGACGATATACATCTTTTCATGCGGATTTGTTTATTATTTAGGCATTCAAATATTGTTTAACCTCTGAAATACATCATCAAGTGTTGATCGGCAGTTTTATGATTTTACTTTTGAGTATTGTTTTATTGATTCTTCGTTTCTGTCAGGTAAAAATGTTGTTTCTGAATTGGGCCAATGATTTATTCAGTTTTTTGTATAGTATACAGCTTTTGCCATAGCAGGATCAAAATTGACGCAACGTATCCGTTTGAAAGCCTTTGCATGTCTTCTTCGTCAAGAAGTTGCTTATTTCGATCGACCTGAAAATAGCTCTGGTGCAATTTGTACTCGTCTATCTTCTGATGCATCAGTTATTCAAGAGATGACTGGTACGCGATTAGGAGTCATCTGTGAAGCTCTCGCAATGTCATTTTTTGGGATGGCATTTGGATGTGTCATACAGTGGCAATTAACATTGATCGCTTTTGGTTCTCTTTTTATCATACTCATAGTCACCTATGGAGATGTGAGGGTACGACTATGGGTGAATCGACAATCTACTCAATTTGTCGAACGAGCAAGCACAGTAAGATCAAATTTTAGCTAATACTCTATTTATGTAGGGAAAACTAAAATACCATGAGTTGTTTGATAAATCAACTGCATTATATTCAATTTGCCTTTATTTTTGTAGCTTGCTGTTGAAGTTATTAATAATATGTGTACAATGAAACAGTTATCGATAGAAAAAGAGGTTCTACGACAATATTCTGAAATTATTCATCAAACATTTATGTTGGCCACTCGAATATTTTACATGTATAAATTTTTACTCGATCTTATTTTTCTCATAGGTTGTCTTGGAAACCCTTGATACTAAATTCAATCGCATATGGCATATACTGGTCAATAGATATATATAGTGTGGCATTCCTATATTGGTGTACTCTCATTCTTATTGAAAACGACAAAATCGCCTTGAATCATATTCTAATGTAATTGAAACCATAATCTGATAAGCTATAATCTAGAGACAACGTTTTTGTTATTTTTTTTAATTTGTTAGGGTCTTTGGTTTTGCCGTTTTTTCGATAGAAGAACAAAAAGTCATCGGGATGTTGTAATACTTTCAATCTCTATTTTACTAATTTTTTTTCCTTATACTCTCTCCGCTTTAGATCTAGCCATATTGCTGCAACATTCACAGCCGCTGAAACATTTTTTGTTCTGTTTGATCGGATACCAGCTATCGACAATACATCCACTGAAGGAAAAGAATTGGTAAGACAACATGGAAGAGAACCATTTTCTTCCACTCATATACATACAATGGATATAATATGATTTGTATAGGTTGATTTTCATGGTGAGATAAAATTTGATCGAGTCAAATTTATCTATCCAACTCGACCAACATCTATTATTCTTAACGAATTTCAATTGGATATTAAGCCAAGTAAGTGAGATATATTTCTATATAATCAATTAGATTAAATTATTTATGTACTGGTTAGGTCAACGTGTAGCTGTTGTTGGTATGTTTAAATTAAATCGTTTTTTTTTAAATGTTAATTACCTAATATGATCTATATAGGAGCATCCGGATGTGGAAAATCAACAATTATTCAACTGTTGGAACGATTTTATGATGTTACAAGTGGTCGATTAGTTAGTATTTCTTCGAAGTGTAGTTTAAGTACTTGTATAAAATTTGTCCGCTCAATTTAGCTTCTCGATGGTATTGATATTCGAAAACTAAATCTTCATTGGGTCCGTTCTCAATTTGGTCTTGTCAGTCAAGAACCAATTTTGTTCGATTTAACAATTGCTGAAAATATAGCATATGGCTTAAAAAATGTTCCAATGGAAGACATTATCAATGCAGCACATAAAGCTAATATCCATCAATTAATTGAGCAGTGGCCTCAGGTTAAACCACACAAAAGTAAATCATGTATGTATTACTATTGTATGATATTTTTAGGGTTATGAAACAAGAGTAGGAATAAAAGGTAATTTTCTGTCGGGCGGTGAGAAGCAACGTATTGCTATTGCTCGTATTCTTCTTCGTCGACCTAAAATATTGCTCTTAGATGAAGCTACAAGTGCTATGGATTCACAAAATGAACAAGTCAGTTTTTGCTTTCTCCTATTTACTAATTAAAGCTTTATCTCTATTTGTCAATTATAGATTGTACAAGAAGCTCTTGAACAAGCTCAAACAGAAGATTCTAGTCGAACATCACTCATTATTGCTCATCGTCTTTCAACTATTCGTTCATGTGATTTGATTTGTGTACTTGATAGAGGACATATAGTGGAGAGCGGTACTCATACAGAACTGATACAACAACGTGGTGCTTATTATAGAATGCTTGCTCAAAACAATTTACAGTGATCAATCATTGAACTATTTTAAAAATATGAATAGACTTTATTGAATATTAAGAAAAATTTTCCCTAATAAATCTGACGCAAAATATAGTTAAATTGCTCAATCTACTGAACGATTTTGATTGTTGATAAGAAGTTGAGCGTTTAATCGAACTACAGTGTAATACATGGATTCGTTTTAACTTATTAGTCATATCTGATGATACTATAGACAATGATGATCTCAATAATTGCTTAGGGTTTGACTATTTTATATAAAAACAATTAAACAAGAAAATATTATTTTTAAACTTTTCCATGTAGTGACAATCGCGTAAAAATCGACATTTTGTTGTAATTGATTAATCGAATTCATTGTGAGATAATAACGTGATGAAATCAACCAAAGAGATGGTTTCTGACGATTTCTTCTCGATTCTTATTGAAATTCACGACTTTTTAATGACTCGTGATGATTAATAATTTATAGTTTATTCAAACGCTCTTGTAGACTCATTAACTAACGACTGTCATCAATTTTTTATGTGATAAGTCTCATGTAAATGGTGATGACAATCATGAAGTTTCTTAATGTATGCCTAACAAATGAAATAGAATATGGCATGATATTTGTTGAAGACAATACTTACCAATTACAAGAAGTATAAATAAAAGAGTGTCGAAAAATATATGAAACGAAAACTTAGATAAAGTTTTAAATATATTTACCACTTATTGTATTCTTGATTTTTTGTTGACGATCTTGGAGTTGACGTGGCATCTTTTCTAAAGAACTTTGGTTACTATTGATTGACAGAGATTGAAAAAGTACTTCGTCTCTTCGCCATTGAAGATAAGAAAAGCATTTCTTATGTGTAATATCATGTTGTAAAACTTTGAATAGCTTGTACAATAAAATGAGACAATTCTGGTATACAAAAGACAAAAATTTGTCTTCTTTTATTTTGTATTAGTTGAAATGAATCTACCAAAAGACCTTAGGTAGGAATCTCCAACACATAACAAACTATCTAATTCCAAAAATAGTTAAGGATACCAAAAGTAATGGCGGAGAGGATGTGGATGTGGGTGTGAGTGAGCGAGTTCAAGAAAAGAGAAGACCGAAACCGACACCGACACAGACGCCTATATCCCACAGCCACATCTATATCCTAATTTACTTTCTGCTATCTCAAATCTTTCTCAATGTAGGCAAGTTCTAAATGGAAATGTGTAGTAACTTTATGGAGATCACTGTCAACGGTGACAGCATAGATGTTCTCGCCGAACAATTGTTCCACTATCGAATAAAACAATGATCTGTATTGGTTGAGCCTTTTGTATTTAAACATCAACAACTCAAAGGAATTTTAGGCACACATAGAAATGTTGATATAGTGTAGTTGGGGAGAAAGAAAACGTATTTCTTACCAATAATGCAATGTAATAATATCAATATCAGCATCAAAAAGTCGACAGTTGTGATCAACGGGATGAACATGAGCATTTTATGTTTCCACCACCTTTACCGTGAATAAAGTCGAACAGGTAATACCTTTGTTCTTGGCAAAAATGATTTCACAAGAGTTTCGGAAGAAAATGTTTTTACAAGATGATATAAAATTCATTATTCCAAAAGAAATTGAACATCTCGCTGCTTTCTTTTGCACCAATTCGTTGATTTCTATACTACTAATGAAGAAAATTGTTCATAGCTCATATTCATGAAAAAATCTTTATAAGAAAAAGTTTCAAAATGTAATTGTCCATCTCGAAAGGAAGAAAGAAACTGCTGCCAATACCTGTGCAAATAATCCAAGTTATTTTCATGGCCGAAAATGAACGATACAGATTGATTACTCGATTCATTCTACTGAATATTCCCCGTCTTATCTCACATGTGTACTAACATTTCATACTATATTACTCAAGTTTAGTCTTACATTTTCAACGATAGACAGGAAAATATGTTGATGAAACTGTCCTGTGTTCGATGTACTTTTTGTGTTGAGAAGCTAATTATATAATTTCTGAACTGCAAGCTGTCTAAATGAATCGTTAAAAATTGTCAAAAAATAGAGAATAGAACAAAAAAAAGCTAGTGACATCATCATCATAATAATCTTAGTTATGAGGATAAACTGAAGTAAAAAGGTGTGAAATGTTGAGGTAAATATGACATCAGATCAGAATACTAGGAAGAATGGATTCAGTAGTTCAATTGTGTCATTCATGTAGGTGATAAAGATAATCTACAGATTATTTGTACAAGTGACGAAAGACATTTCTTCTTCTTTTTGAGACCGACGGTGACATTTAGAAATTACTTTGTTAAAGATTTTTTTTCATGAATATGGACTATGAACATTGATTTTATGATTAGTGAAAAAAGACTGTATCGCATTATACCGGGTGTTCCAAAAGTTTTGCAAGATTTTGTATTTTGCATATATCTCGGCATAGGTAAATGATGGAACCTTGATTTTTGTTAAAAGATGCGCCTTGAAAAGCTCTACAAGAATAGTAATAACAAATTCTAATTGACTCGTTTCAATGGTCTTTTCCATATTCAAAAAGATAGATCTATATGTCAGTGGTTTGTCCCACTGCTGTATTTACACCATTTACTAAAGTTTTACGATAGCTTGAAAAGTCTGCATTTACTATTGCTTATTGAGATAATAGATTCCTTTTACATAAATAAAGTGCGCATTAGTGCCCTCTATTACTCTAGTTGGACAATATTTTTTTACTTTGTTTCACTTGATTTTGAAATGGTGAAAAGTCATGATTTACGAGATGTAGCTTTGGCTCACTACAAAAATGGATAAAAAGCTCCAGAAATTGCTAACGCATTGGCAAACAAGGTTCATCGAAGTACTATTCATCGTTGGTTACGTCGGTATAAAAAATCTGGATCAATTAATGTTAAACCACGATCAGGAAGACCAAGAACTGGACGTACAAAAAAGCTCATCAATCAGGTGAAAAGAAGACTCGATTCCAATATTCGTCGAAAAAGTTTACGTACAATGGCTACAGATTTTAAAAGTAGTATTTCAACAATTAAACGAGTGCTCAATATTGACTTAAACAAAAAATGTTATCGAAAAGTTAATGTTCAACAGTTAAAGGAAGATCAAAACCAATACGAAAGACCTGTTGTCATTGGATTAGGAAGAACATAAGTCGTGATAAACTAAAAATAATGATGTTCACCGATGAAAAAATATTTACACAAAACTGCTATTACAATCCTAAAAGCGATGTTATATGGGCTGATAATCGATCTGATGCTAATGAACGTGGTGGACTACATGCGGTGAAAAAGTATTCTGTCAATGTCATGGTTGGGTTAGGTGTAACATGGTATGGACTCACACGACCATATTTTTTTGAAAAAGGTGAACGACTAAATGGTCAAAGCTATACTGATCAATTGTTACCATTTTATAAAAAAGAAGGTGACCGACTGTTTCAACAGAAAAAATGGGGGTTTCAACAGGATGGAGCTAGCTCCCATACTGATCAAATATCTCAAAACTGGTGCAAAGAGAACTTTGAATTTTTTATTCCGAAAGAAAGATGGCCACCTAACTCACCAGAACTTAATCCATTAGATTACTCTATCTGGACCAACATCTCGAATCACATTGAATATCACAAAGTTAAAACGGTCAATGATTTGCGTCGAGAAGTCGAAAAAGCTATAAAGAAAATTGATATTAATTATGTACGGGACGTGATCAACGTCTTTCTTCGACGAGTACGTTCAGTGGAAGAACATGATGGTGAATTAATCATAGATGAACATAATTAATTCTAGTAATACTCTATCGAAATTATTGAACTATTATGCTGTTATTTTATTAATTTTTTTAACCTTGAAATAAATTATTGTTACTGAAATATCGTAAAACTTTAGTAAATGGTGTAAATACAGCAGTGGGACAAACCACTGACATATAGATCTATCTTTTTGAATATGGAAAAGACCATTGATACGAGTCAATTAGAATTTGTTATTACTATTCTTGTAGAGCTTTTCAAGGCGCATCTTTTAAAAAAAATCAAGGTTCTATCATTTACCTATGCCGAGATATATGCAAAATACAAAATGTTGCAAAACTTTTGGAACACCCGGTATAATGAACATCAAATTTTACTCCATTACCTTCAATTTCAGGTATTTTAAGTACAAAATGGATTTGATACATATTTGCAAGCAATTTTTGAGCCTGATTCTGGTAAACGAATAATCATATCAAATAAACTTGTGATTGGTGTATCAATTGAATGTGTTAAACTTATTGGTTTGACTATCCAAGTATTATCAATTTGGTGATCTTCACAATACTAAATAAGTTTTAAAAAAAGGCTGTTAGCACAAGGTGTGGGTGTGTTGTCGCGTATGTTCGTGCAATATCTTCTACATTACCTGTAATGGCACTTCATTAATTTTTCGAAGATTCTTGTAGATGACATCAAAATGTTATTGAGGGTGGGGGTGTTAATGAAAGAAGATAGACACCGACCCACACCCACACCCTATAGATACGAGTACATTTTGCACATCAATGCTAGACATTGATTTTCCAAAACATGATACACACACAAAACAAGTTTGATACTTAGATCGTCAAAATTCCTTGAGTCAATCGTCCTTGCGTTTCATAGGAACATCGGTTAAACGTAAACGAAGAGCTTGCTGATAGAAAAGATCATTTTGTAGCAGCATAATCTCGATACCAGGTTGATCACCAGGAAAAACCGTACTCGAGAAATGTTTCTGCCACGTGCTTATGAAAATTTATAAAAGTATTGCTGTAGAATCCCTCTTTCTTGGAAAAAAAACATTGATAGTCTGATGACATTAAAGTTGAGATAATTACTTAGTATAAAAAGATAAAATAAAAACGGTATGCAAAAGTGTATGATACGACGTTGCATAATTATTGAATCGGCTGTCGAATTAACATGACAAATAGATTGCAAGACGTTATATACATGGGATAGTTTTCACATTGTGAAAATACTATATGTTATCTTGTGCAGTTTTTTTTCGTTGTATCAAAATAACAGGAAACTCTTGTCGACCATGGCAGGATTTTTGTGTCGTTGTTCAGACACTAACCGTTCATGGATATGTTAAGAAATTATTTAAAGAAAATCTAAATGTTCTGATCGACATTTAGAACTTTATGGAAGTATTTTTATTATATCATTGTGAACGTCTCATAGAGATTTAGCTATGATAAAAAAATCAAGAACAGATATTGTTTCGCAAATTATTAAGAAAACCACTAGATTTCGATTGCAATCGTTATGGGTTAGAATTTGATATATTCATAATTGACATAGAATTTCTACATATTTTCATAGCAAGAAAGTCACCTAACATACCATAATTGCAAACTGCTGCATAAAGTGAGAACAAGAATACATCTAGGTTCTTTGATGGAATGTCCTATTATTTGGAAACAGTAATTTTTTCATTCTTATCAGATTTCTTATAGATAGAATAATAGATAAAGGAGATGGATAATAGAAAAAGAAACTAGAGAGTTATGTCTATATTAATATATTATCAACATATCAACAACATAACTTCTAGAAAAGAAAACAAAAGCTTATACAGAAATTTATGTAAATGTCCTATAATTTTAGGGCATCCTGTATATTCAAAGTCACAAAAGTTTTTTTTGTATAACATGGTTTGTTAAGTGTATACTTTCTCATCGTATATTCATTATCAAAAAAAAAAGCAATCTGCAATAATCTTAAGCAAAATTAACAGAGAGTGAGATGAATTGATTCAATTGAGCCACACTGTAATCAAACTTGAATTAAAGGTTATTTTCCTTTATTTTTGTTTTCTAACTAACAAGAACATAACGAAGACACACAAAGACAAATTTATTTTTCTTCACAAACATGATTAAATATACATATAAAGATGTTTATATATGAAATCTTATAGAACCAAAAAAGTTGAACTTTCAATTAAAGAACAAAAAATGAAAGCAAAAAGCAAAGAGGATATAGACAACGAAGAAACGAAAGAAATCTATGTGCGACAATAAAGATAATTGGTATGAAAAATATTTTAACATCGTTGTTAAAAAAGTAATCTTATTTTCGATTGCCGAACAAAGTAAGAATATATAAGAATATATAAACAACATCAATATAAAGCATAAGTGATGCAAAAACATGATCTTCAGCACTTATTTCATGTCGTTTTCCACCAATAATTAATTGTGTATCAACGGCCAAAAACTAATAATAGAAAATAATTTCTTTTGATTTACTTAATTATTAAAACTTACAATTGAAAAAAGCACAGCTCCAAGACCAGCATAGATTGTATACATTAACTTAAAGAAATAAATTATTTTTTTTTTTCGTAGAAAAAAAAACCATAACATAAACATTTTGTTTTATTAAAAATACTTACTCTTGAATAAGTAAAAATACAAACAATTCCAAAACCAAAAAGTGCCAATGACATAACGAAGAGAATTCCAAGACAAGATGTTAAATCATATTTTGTTTGAAATGAAAATAATGTAACACCCAAACAAACAAATGTTGTTATACCAACAGCAATTAATATTGATTCAATTTCATAATGTGCTGAAATCATACCCATCTAAAGTTTTTACAAAAAAAAAAAAAAATCAAACTTTAATAAGTAAATAATGTTTAAATTGAATCATACCATATAACCCATTGATAATGTCTAAAATGAAAAAATTTTATTTTATAATTAATTTAATTTTTTTTTTTATTTTACCAAAATGCCGAGTAAAATAAGATTAAGTGGAAATCTTCGTCCTGCATTTTTTGAACAAACCATTACAATATAAGTAACCATAAAAACAACATATGATGTGAAATAAAGCCATTGACCATCCGGACTTCGTACGTATGCATGAATCGATGGTCTACATCATATATCATACAGTCACATTCAATGTCTTTTATTTAAAAAAAAAAACATACGTAAATTGAAATAATGCAATGAGACCAAATGTGACTGCTAATTGAATCATAAGAATTGCATAAACCTATTTTATATAAAATTATTAAAATAAACTGGTTTTTTTTTGTAGGTTTCGATCAGCACAAACCTTTCGAATAAATACACTACGAATTTTTTTACTTTCAAGACCAGTAAAATTTCCCCATTGACCTCCGCCTTGTTCATCATCTTTATAAGAACAAAAGAAAAAAACTCTCAATTATAATTAAAAACAAAAGAATTAAGCACATAAATTAGCAAAACATTTAAATAAGAGTTTAAGCAATGCAATTAATTTATATATTCGAATTTTTTTCTCATCTAAGAATACCGATTGATTGAATATGTTTCGGACTTAAACCTAATAGATCAAATTTTTTCGGATTCGTATCCGAAGTGTGCTCTTAATTTTAAGGAAATTTTTAGTATAGGTCACTTCAAAGATGCGAGATACTTTTTATCGATTATTTGTATTTTGCTAGTAACAAAGCCTACGCATTTCTCAAACAATCTTGACGATAATCTTATAATAATCAAGTCATAATTGGTTATAGTTATGAAAGTAAATCAGTTTTAAAGAAAAGCAAGAGAGAATCGACTATGTCATTTAATAGGAAATTTTCTACAATCTTATAATTATGATCGATAATAATCTGTCAACTGTTTGTCCTATTTATTCTTTCATGAATATGTAAAAGAATAAATAGTAGAATATATCTTACAACGTCATGTTTTTATAAATGGTACTTATAAAATCGATATATAAAATCATAATAATTGATTATTTAACATGAAAACTTTAAGTTGAAGTTTTAGAAGAAAATATGAAAAAAAATTTGTTCTTGATTGAATATTCAATGGTGACCTTGAACCTTCTTATTTTTGTTTTTCTTTAAGATAAATACAATTGACATAAAACAGTGAACGAGAATTGTTTTGTCTTATGTTAAGAACACTATGTAGAATATACAACAATTAAAGCAGAAGTTCGATTAAATTACAAAAGATTTTATACAATCATTTGATTTATAAAAGAAAATTTCTATATCAATATGAAAATCTAAGTTAAAATCATTCGTTAATATCATTGGTACCCGCGACATGAGAATGAATAAATATTTATAAAGCATAACTATTATTTTTTTTTTTTTTTTCTTAAAATCGAAATTAAAAGAAAATTAAACATACTTAGCAAAAATACTTTATCATTAAAGAATAATATCTTAAATAATATCAATTTTTAAAGCCTTACAACTTGAAGATACACCTGTGTATCCAGAAACTTTACAAAAAAAAGCTTCAATTATTAAAATAAAACTAACCTTTGTCAAAGTTTGGACGTGGCAATACAGGAGGTGGTTGAAATGGTATTTCAGTTTGACTATAGACAACACCTATAAAAGTATATAAATAAAACATTGAAAATCATTCATATTGAAATAGGTACCGGGTTGAGTTGGACATGGTATATATCCAGACGGTTGTTGAGTTGGATAAGGTTGATAACCTGCGTATGGTGGATAAGGTGGATTGTCCATATTTTGACTTTGACTCATTATATTTATTTGTTCTAAAAAAGACACTTAGTTTATTATATATAAGAACAAAATATTATCAAACTGACGAAATTTCTCATCTAACAAAAAGATAAACGGGTACTTCCTTCAAATAGACGACACTCTGACCTTATTGGTTATATATATATATATATATATATCGATGTGGAAAGAAAAGGACAAATATGGATAGCATGTGATCGGAGCAAATAGAATGAAGACAAAATAGCGACATAACATCAAGAAATGCATTTGTATGCGTCACCTGCAGTTTCGGCAGAGGTTCGACATGATTTGAACATTAGTAAATAGAAAAAATATTCTCTTTCGAACTACACATAAATTTTTAGCTTAACAAGTGTCTCACATATATAGAAGACGCTATTTATTGCCATCATTAAGATACTTCCTTGTAATTATCTCTTGTCAAACCGTGAGAGAACGCAAAAGATTCTCGATGAAATTTTTCTATTCGCTCAAATAAGCCATTATTGCGTCTATATCGCCACCCGCCAACAATGATATCGGAAATATCTATCTCTTTGTATCATTTTGGAAGATAAGAATAAGAATTTTTAAAAAAAAAAGTTTCCACATATAGTTTCTTCTCAAATGCATATCTTGCTATTCATTCAATGAATCATCAGACTTCAACCATGTACTATTAGAGCAATAGAAAATAAATGTGGCATTGAAAACTAGTGCTCAAAGAACACTTTATACATAGTCGTACTCACAATATTTTGATACACGAATTTTACCAATCGATAGAGGATGTATTGGGTTAGATGTCTTCTGAAAAAAAAAATTTTTGAAAAAATAAACAAACAAAAAACAGTTATAGCCATTTTTCGGAAATGCATTGATTTTCTCTACACATTTATTCCTAGTTATTCTATTGGTTCATTTATTTTAATCAATAAGCGCACCAAAACAAAAGATGGCGTACATGTCCATATCAATACGAGTGATGAGGAAAAGCATTAATTTAGATAAATATTTAACGATATTTATTTGAAACAAAGAAGGGTGTGAGTGTCGATCTTCTCTTCATCCACATTCTTTTTCATAAGTTATAATTATATTTTGTTATTGTTTGTACTATATATCTTGTCCAAAATCAAAATAATCAAACATCTTATTGAAATCAAGTATGATCTATAATAAATGAATAAGCTTGATAAAGTACGCACACCTGCAAAAGATTTTATGAAAACACTTGATTATTTTGGTTTTGGATAATATATATAATTTAAATAATTACAATTTATTGCTACTACACCAGTACTATGATTCATAAATAATTATGTTTTTCTGATATCTCATAGCAATTGCATGATAGGAAAAAAGAATTGAAACTTTCAGCTCGGAAAAGCCCTAAAGAAGAAAAATAGTGAAACACATAGGATAGTTAAAAAGTTCTGTAACTTTCAAGTTATTTATTCATATAGAAAACATTTTGCTAATTTTTTTTACAGTAAATGTTCGAAGTAATCCCTGTAATGTTTATCACAAAGTCTCATTCTTTCAATCCAATTCTAGAATGTCTTTTGGTACACTTAAATTGACCTCCTTCGTTATTATTTTAGCTAAACTTGTATCATGTGGATATGTATGAAGGTTACGTATCAGATAACCTAATAACCAAATATCTGAAAGAGCAAAAACAGGTGTACATGATGAATGTACCAAAGCTTAGATTTTTTCATTTTGAAGAAAATTAAAATTGAGAAAAATATCTTAGATATGTGATGTTGCATAATACGAATTTATGCTATGCTTTATTGATGATGTTTTTTCTTATGTAAATTTTTGACTAATATTTTCTAATGTTCATCACATTAGTTTATGTAATAACTATATCGAAGATGATAATAATCTAATTAATACTAATATATGGATAATCATTCACTAGTTCTTTAATAACATCGACATTTTTGTTGAGAAACAACGGTTATTGGACGATCATTTCGAGAATTATCTTCCAACGACTCCCAACTCCTTCAGAATCGATGTACCCAATGATCAACTGCACTATATGAAACAACACTTTGTCTACAAGCAGTAGTTAATTCATCATGAATTTGTGTAGCCACTAAACAGAATAACAAACGAGTTTTTATATATGAGCGTATGTGCTGGTTTTTTTTCATCTGGAAATAGAGGGGGCTAAAAAGTCTACCAAGAATTCTCCATAATAGACACTTGTGAAAATTCGTATTGGCGGTTTAATACACAACAGATGTTGCTATTAGAATAAGTCAATATGAGGGACAAAAACAATGAGGACAAAATTTCAGAGAGCTGTTTGCAGAACTTTTTGACTATTCTATGTATTAAAAAAATATCTTCATTTTAAGTTAGATTAGACAAAATAGAGCTGACAAATAAATACTTTAATAGATTGAAATATATTTTATTTGCATAACAATCATATAAAATCTATTAAATTTTTATTTTCTTTTTATTATAAAATCCATTGAATAACATAATTGCTTTAATATTCAATTTAATATATACTTTTCAAGTGTTCATTTCAATCAGAATATTATTTTTCTACACATTTGATTGTTAATTACTTTGAATACATTTAATTTTGTAACTCTGCATTATAATGTATCATATCAGTTTCAGTTGTTCGCTTAATTTATTTTCGATAAGATAGTATAATAACAAGTTCATGCCCGAAATAACAAACTAAAACAAAGAGACAATAATTATAAATACTTTTCATACAAGGTAGGCTTGAATTAATAATTCTGTTTCGCATAATCAACAAAAATATAATCCTGGTAGCAAAAATAATAGATGATAAGGCATACAACGATCAGATAAAAGAAAATATCGGAAATAAGTGATACTTAAGTTCTATAACACTAAATTGATGTTCGGTTTCAGTATTTGTTACTAGAATCGAATGAATTTCACGAGTGATAAGACGAAGCATTAACATTTAATTTCCAAACTGTAAGAGCCTAACATAGCCCAATAACCAGGCTCAATATTAGATAGACTGATAAAGTCAGATTAAAATTTCAAAACTGGATCTGTTAACCTGATATAGCGGTAGTTGTGACGCATAAAAAAAAATTCAGTCATTTTTTTTTTCAAGCAAATAAATCATGCATTATTTTAGGATTTTTAATTCAATTAAAAAATGTGAGGTTCATTCACAGACAATTTTCTTGTTCGTTAATTATATTGAAAGTTCAAAGAAAAAAGAAGAAAATAAATTATCCAACACGATAGCTATCTTTAAGAACAGTTATATATTCATCTAAATAATAGAAATTTTATTAGATTTGTTTTTTTTTCTTCTTCTAAAAATATTCCTGAGATTAAAGTTCGGTCGAACTTGAACAAAGTTAAAGACCAGAAGAGTAAAATAAATTTATTTTAAAATTAAGTTTGTTAATCAAAAATAAATATTTTTCTTTTTTCTCTTATTAAATAAACTGTCAATGATTAGAAAAGATTCTCTTCATCATCCATATTCACCCTAATTTAGTAACAAAAAGTATAGATAAAGATTGAACATAGCATGATACAATTGATATTTATTGTTCTTTTTTAATATTAAAAAAAAAGAATCGATTGCTTTGTCTGTTTTTATATTGAAAGAATTTTGAAAAGAAAGAAGTTTATTATTTGGTAAAGTTATATATTTTATGATTCGATTTCTAAAACTAAAATTCATTTTGTTTTATTAAAATAAAAAATAAAATTATTTATAGTTTCATATTTCTAAAGGTAAAAAGTATTCAATTATCAATAAAATATGCAACATTTTAATTCTTTCTTTTTGAATGGCATCTATAGGTGCCGGCACATCTATTATAGATTTTATATCAATAATCTGAACATAAAATTCTTTATAAAATCTTTATTTAGTCCTCAGACAAATATATTGTGTTATGACGTGTGCTATAATCGTGCCACAAGAGAGTTCTAACGAATCATTATATGACTTAACTATACTAGCACTAAATCGATGTGATTCAAACTTTCTGGGTACATATTAAGAACCATTGTAATCGTAATGCTAAACGAATCCCAGTTCTAGATCTTAAACTCCAGTCATAGGTAAAGAAAGGGTTAATAAAATATTTCTGCTTATCTAATAATGAAAAATGGTTTTTTTTTATATTTGGAGAAAATGAATAAAATGATAAATATATTAGAAATATGGCTAAAATTATTGATAGTAAGATCAAAATTTTAATATTTCTATGGTCTTTAAATAAACCAGATTTATCTTATAAAAAATGTTTATTAATAATATTTAAACCATCACCACTTTGCTCTTCTATAATAAAGAGTGTTTCATAAATTTCGATCCTCTTTTTATTTTCTTAGTATTTTGATCGTATTTCAAGGTGGATAGAATAGATGGATGGGATCCTAGTTATGTGAGTTCAGATTTGTGTGAATCCTGAGGTTAAAAGCCATTTTAAGATAATATATGTTGACGGCTAATCCACTGATTAGTGACTATTGTTCGAAAGAATAATAGAAATAATACGTGGAACTAAATTATATCCGATGCAACTATCGTGTAACACAAAGATAATTAAAACAAAATGGACTATTTTATTCACTATTTTTGTTAAAGAATTTCAATAGAATATTTCATATGTTATTAACTTTAAATGTAATTCTTAGTATCAATAAATACAAGTATAGTCTTGAGAGGTGAAAATGCTTTCTTTTTTCTCTTTACTATTCTTCTATTTTCTAATGTATCATCTCACTGTCAATCGCTTTTAACCTATTTACGCAGATGATATATGCAGAAGGGAGCATACAGAAATAAAAATCACACTTATGTGAGGTATGTTCAGTTTTCCAAAAAAGAAAATTACCCACGTTTCTGAAGTTTCCACCAGCTCGATAACTATATAGCAGTGCAAACCAAGAGTTTCTAGACATATTGGAAATTTCAGAATTTTAGAAATTTCTGAAATTACATCATTTTAGGAAGTGTGAACACTGCTGAAGTGAGCGTGTCTGACTTTGTTTCTTTTTCTTCTTCCGAGGAAGAAAGAAAAAAAACTTCCAACATGCATAATATAAAAGAGTACAACACGACGAATTATTGATTTGTTGGTGTATGATGATCATGCAACAAGATATATAAGAAGTATATAGTCAGCTGAAAAGTCTTTTTCTTTTCTATTTTAGGAAATCAATCATACTCATCGAGCTAGATCAACAAAGATAACAATATGGGTTCGGGTTCAAGTGTCCAGTGTTCAGTTTGCACGAGTTCATCATACGGTAGATGTGATCATTGTAGACGACGTTTCTGTACCTACCATTTTCGGTCTCACAATTGTACGGGTGCAAGTAGTTATGGATCAACGACAGTTCGTTGTAAACCGGAGTGCGGTTCCTGTAGCAGTGACGCAGTTGGTAGTTGTGACGGATGCGGCAGTAAAGTTTGTTCATCATGCTTTTATTCGAAACATCAGAAGCAATGTGGTCGCACATATTATCGATGACTCGATTTTTCTGTTTTCTTTACTATCTTTTATGACCTTCTTCTATATACGAACATTGTCTACTGCGTACGTATGATTGAATTAATAGGGTGTGGGCGTGGGTGTGAGTATAGAATAAATACGAAAACCCACATCCACACCCTCAAGTTGAGAATTTTGCACATTTCGAGAAAGAATGTATTTCTCTCGAAAAATGATACTTTTCGAGTATTTCATGTTTTTCGACCGGAAACAAATATTTGCTAAGCCTAAAAAGTAGTTTTTCATGATCAATAGCTTATGCTCTATCAAATAATGCAAAAAAATTGCAGAAAAAAAAATTTCACTGGAAGTTCGAATTGCGTGCACCTTGCCACTTTTACAATTATATAGTATTGATTATGAAAACACAACCGATTTTCAACTAATCCAAACGTATGCAATAAACAAACTAATCTTTTTTTATGTATGTCATACACAATAAGATACAGAAGCTTTACATTTTTTCAGAATAAAAAATTTCAGAGTTAATCAGGATTTATAATTAATAAATGTTGTTTAATATGATTTTATTGGAAAAATACTCTGAATATGTTCATTATTCATTTTATTAATTTATCCTAATTTATTCAGACAAAAAAAAAAGTTTACAACAAAGGAAAATAAACATAGAAGTCTTTTGAATGTACTATTGTTTGCATCATAAGATTTAATTCATTGACATTGGCACAATTGAGTCGTGTTCTTTCTCTTGTAAAATTTTCCGTTACAAGTTGTAATTGATCATAATTAATTATTAATTTTGTTAGGCGAGGTAAATGTGTTTTTGTATCATTTAGAAATTGTTCAGCATAATCATTATGAACATTTTCAAAGCAAAGTGAAATAAGATAAGGATAATTAACAATTGAATATAATTGATTATCATTAGAGTTTAATTCGTCTGATAATAATGATTGTGGTCTAATATTATTAATAGTTAATTGTTGAAGTAATGGAAAAGACCAAGCAATTCGAATGAAAAATTCATGTTCGAATGGAACATTATCTTGCACTCGTAAAATTCGAACATAATTGAAAATAATAGTTGGAAATGTATTACCAATAAAATTGAAATAATTAAACATAAATGGTAATGAGAAAACATGAAATTGAGCAAAATGATAAAAGTAATTGACAATACATTCCACTTGTTGAAATATAATATTAGTAAAAGTTCGTTGAATATCATCTTTAGATAAATGATGAATTGAATCATTTATCAATTTTTCAGTACAAATCCAAAAGTTAAATATATTAAGTCGTGGCATATAAACAAGAATTTCATTATAAAGAGAAGTACCATCGATAAATGGTCGATCTTGAATAAAAATAGACAAAGTTAATTCTTCAAGATTTAACATACGACGAAAAAGAGGTAATATCATATGATCATATGTACACTCAGGTGGGGCAATTCGGATCACAAACTAGAAAATCG